AAAAAAAAAAAAGAAAAATGGGAGGACGAGAAAGCAAACCAAGAAAAAATAGTGTAAGTGAAAGAAAAGGAACAAAAGGGGGTGGGGGTAGAGGAACCGTGGGGGAGGGGAGAGAACGTAAGCATTAAAGACAGAAAGAACAAAACAAGAAAGAGCGCACAAGAAGCAAGAGAGCTAAAACCGGAGGAAAGAAAGGCAGGAAGAAAAAAGTACAAATATAAGACGGAAAAGAGAGAGAGCAGGAGACGGAAGGCAGAAAGGGCAGAAGAAAAGACGCAAGAAAGAAAAGCGCGCACCCCATTAGGCCCCGTTCATAAACCCAGAGCGGGAAGCGTCCCCAGCCGTTCAGCCAGGCCCTTTGCTGTCTGGCGGCACCGGAGCCCCGACCTTTCCAGAAAAAGCAGCTGCGCCGCTGCAAATAAATTCTCATTATTGATCAGCACCAACCTGAGGGCCTCGGGGGTCGCGACCACGCACACTGTTCCAAGTGGGGGAATGAAGTCACCGGGTGCAATCTTTGCTTTAAGGAAAGGAAAACAGAATTTAACAAATGCGGCAAGCGGGGCGGGGGGGCGCCCCTCGCCCCCTTCCTCCGGTTGCGGGGCCGGAGCCCGGGCGGGGGCGGGAGCTGACACCGAGGTGCCAAGTCCCCGTGGCCAGAACCCCCGGGGCGCGGCGGCCGCGCTCAAAGGCCCGGCAGTAAAGGTCACAGGCGGTCTGTGGGGCCGCGCTGAATGGGTTCCCGGTGATAAACAGGCTCTTAACTTTCAACTTGGCCTTGACCTTCCTGGAGGTGTCTGGCCGGTATGTAAAGGAGCAGAAGAGGCTTTCAGCGCGTTTGGTTGGGTCGGGAAAGGGGAGGGGAGGCTCAGGGTCTGAGGGTCTGCCTGGAGGCTCCCAGCAGGACACAAAGGAGTCTGCGGGCCGGGGGAAGGGCTGACTCAGCCTGGGCTGGCCGGGCGGTCAGACGCCAGGGTTATCCCGAGACCTCGGCCTTAACGTCCTGGAGAGCCCTAAGGAGGTTTGGGGTCGGGGTGGAGGGGGGGACGGGATCTGAACCTCAGTTTCTCCATGTGGGAACCTCAGGCTGATTCAGGGCCGAGAGAGGCAAGTACAAAGTGACCCGCATATTTTAGGACAACTGTCCTTTAATTTTAAAATAAAAACAGGTGTCTTGTAGTCCATTAGAAACAGACACACATGCAGAAACACAAATATAACTCATTCAATTCATAAAATGCCTTCATATGCAAAAATCTCCATTTAATCTGCACAGCGTTCCTGTGAGGTAGGGATTATTGTGCCCATGGGGAGAGAGACTGGTACCTTTTACAGATGAGACTGAATCCTACTTTATCTGACTCCAGTTGAGGTCTACGATACGTCCCAGACAGTTGCCTATACGTATGCCTTACGGGAAACAGGAGCACATGCTCATGTTAATAAATATGACATTCAGACGGTTCCCTGGGACCTGGTAGTTGCTAAGTAAATTGTAGAGCAAAACAAAAAACCAACCAGCTCCGTAATTTTGATTTGTATGGAAATGTGTCTGTTGGACAGCCGGTGGGCTGGTATTCCACAACATGCCGAGCTCTGTGAGCCTCGCTGCTTATTTTCAGAGACGTGAAGAAGAAAACCATGTGTCCAAAAAGCACAGGGGTGAGCAATGCTGTTATGAATCCTTACGTTTTTGTGCGTACAGAACAGAGATAAAACTGATACAAAGTGCAGAGATAACCCGGGTACAGCTCGCATTTTCACACAGTGAACACACCCATGTAACTACTGTGCAGATTGAAAGCGAGAACATGGGCCGCACCCAGAAAGCTTCCTGAGGGCACCTCCCACTCAGGAGCCCCTCTCTCCAGCCAAATCTCTTCTAACCTAATTTTGCCTGGGTTACTTTTTTTTAAAATTTAGAGATTTGTTCATGCTTGTACTGTCATCTACCAAGTACAAAGCAGTGAAAACACTTTGTCTTTAGGTAAAAATCCTGATATTTCTGTCTTGCAGAGTTAGACAAGCTAGAAGCTATGATAAGAAACTGGGACGTGTCAAAGAGTGTGCTCAGTATTTTCACCGCAAGCGTCTTTGCCTTCGGCATCTGTGCTGAAAGCATTTTTGCCATGAACATTTCACCACATAAGTAATTTACCATAAGGCAATTTTGCTGTAAAAAAAAATAAAATAAAATAACTGGTTGACAGTTTGATTTTTTTTTGGCTTGGTTTTATTTCTCCATTGACAAACCAATTTAACTGCGTGGAAGACAATGTACTTAAGCCGGTTGTTGGTTTGGTTTCATTTCTGCATTGACAAAGTTCTCACAGCTACTTCCATTTTTATATTATATATAAATCTCAGCCAGCCCACATAAAGGTCAATACGGTGAGTAGATATGATGGTGGTCTTAGAATGGTTAGCATTTATTTCTTGCAGAGGACAACAATTTGCCCCAAGAGTTGGTTTCTTATTTTGAAACACACTACCGGCATCGCTTTATTGTACTTCACAGATACTGTGTTTTTTACAAATTGAAGAGAAGACTTTCCACCAGCAAAAAGACTAAACTCTCTGAAGGCTCACGTGATGGTATTTTTTTTAGCAGTATAGCATTTTTAAATTAAGCTAGGTACTTTTTAAAAGACATCATGCTATTGCACACTTATGAGACTACAGTCACGTAACATATAGGCACTAGGAAACCCAAAAATTCGTGTGACTCGCTTTTGTGACACTCTTTTGATTGCAGTGGTTTGGAACCGAATCCAAAATCTCTCTGAGGTATACCTGTACATTGGGAGGAGAAAAGAGGCTGCGGGTTGTCTTTGAGGGCACCCAGTTGAACCCACAGTTCCCATACAATGAAGACAACAGCTTAGATACAAACCGCAAACTAAAATCAGTTATTTGCACAGGATTGCCATGAATCTACACACATTTGAAATATAAGCAAGTGTTTTGTATTTCTCAATAAACTTTTTAAAAATTTTGTTATGTCTGTTTTTTTAACATCCCTCATTTACTTTTTGTGATTTTATCTTTTTTTAAGGGCAAAATTGCCTAATGGCCAGTGAGTTATATGGTAAAAATGTTTGCAGCAAAAATATTTGCGGCAAAGATAGCTACAGGCAAAGATACTACAGCAAAAGTACCCAGACCCGTTGAAGAGACACCTCCATTTTCTCTCATGTGGTTTTCAAATGCAATAAAATATAGAGAAAAAGAGAGAGGGAGAGAGATCTGTTTGTTGTCCCACTTGTTGTTTTTGTATTCATCGGTTGCTTCTTGTATGTGCCCTAACCAGGGATCAAACCCACAATTTTGGCATATCAGGAAGATACTATAACCAACTGAGCTACATGGCCAGGGCAGCAGTTTTTGTTATAGGTGATCTATAATTTCCCCTATAGCCCTGCAACTCCAGTTTGCATGGGGCCAGTCTGGAAAGATGGCTCAAGTTCAGGTTCAAGTTGGTGAGTGGGCATGAGCTCGGGGTGGTCTGTTCTACATAATTGCCATGACCCCTATGCAAAATGGAATCATTCCTGCCTTTTCCAGAAAAAACTGGGGGTTCTAGAAAAAGTGGACTTGGACAGATTTGATTTGGGCGAGGTAGTGAAGAGACACAAAACCTCAGATTTGTGAAACAAAGCAGTTTTAGTTTCTTGAATTACACCGCACAATAGGCCCCATCAGGGGGGCCTCCAGCAATTTCTCCAGTGGTTGGGCCCTCCCCCAGCCCCCATCAGGAGGGCAGAGAGGCGGAGGCTCACCGGCCAGGCTCCTGTGCTCTTGGGGTCCAGAACGCCCACAACTAGTTCATGGCCAGTTAGTTAACCAGCCCCGACTTCCTGGAAATTCCTTAGTTCTCAGAGAAGGGGAAG